ACTTCAGTTCTCAATGGTATATTTTAAGGGTTCCCTAACTTCAGTTCTCAATGGTATATTTTAAGGGTTCCCTTACTTCAGTTCTCAATGGTATATTATAAGGGTTCCCTAACTTCAGTTTTCAATGGTATATTTTAGGGTTCCTTAACTTCAGTTCTCAATGGTATATTATAAGGGTTCGATTCCCTAACATCAGTTTTCAATGGTACATTTTAAGGGTTCCCTAACTTCAGTTCTCAATGGTATATTTTAAGGGTTCCCGAACTTCAGTTCTCAATGGTATATTAAAAGGGTTCCCGAACTTTATTTCTCAATGGTATATTTTAAGGGTTCCCTAACTTCAGTTCTCAATGGTATATTTTAAGGGTTCCCTAACTCCAGTTCTTAATGGTATATTTTAAGGGTTCCCTAACTCCAGTTCTTAATGGTATATTTTAAGGGTTCCCTAACTCCAGTTCTTAATGGTATATTTTAAGGGTTCCTTTACTTCAGCTCTCAATGGTATATTTTAAGGGTTCCCGATCTTCAGTTCTCAATGGTATATTAAAAGGGTTCCCGAACTTTATTTCTCAATGGTATATTTTAAGGGTTTCTTAACTTCAGTTCTCAATAGTATATTTTAAGGGTTCCCTAACTTCAGTTTTCAATTGTATATTTTAAGGGTTCCCTAACTTCAGTTCTCAATGGTATATTTTAAGGGTTCCCGAACTTCAGTTCTCAATGGTATATTTTAAGGGTTCCCGAACTTCAGTTCTCAATGGTATATTATAAGGGTTCCCTAACTTCAGTTCTCAATGGTATATTTTAAGTGTTTCCTAACTTCAGTTCTCAATGGTATATTTTAAGGGTTCCCTAACTCCAGTTCTCAATGGTATATTTTAAGGGTTCCTTAACTTCAGTTCTCAATGGTATATTTTAAGGGTTCCCTGACTCCAGTTCTCAATGGTATATTTTAAGGGTTCCCTAACTCTAGTTCTCAATGGTATATTTTAAGGGTTCCCTGACTCCAGTTCTCAATGGTATATTTTAAGGGTTCCCTAACTCTAGTTCTCAATGGTATATTTTAAGGGTTCCTTTACTTCAGTTCTCAATGGTATATTTTAATGGTTCCTTTACTTCAGTTCTCAATGGTATATTTTAAGGGTTCCCGAACTTCAGTTCTCTATGGTATATTTTAAGGGTTCCCGAATTTCAGTTCTCTATGGTATATTTTAAGGGTTCCCTAACTTCAGTTCTCAATGGTATATTTTAGGGTTCCTTTATTTCAGTTCTCAATGGTATATTTTAATGGTTCCTTTACTTCAGTTCTCAATGGTACATTGTACATTTTAAGGGTTCCCTAACTTCAGTTTTTCAAATTTAAAACTTTAACTAAGGGGAGGTAATTATTGTAAAAGTTTCCCCGTGGAAAAGAACATTAGTTTAGGTAAATATGTATATGCATTAAAACACTTGTACTGAGCACGAATTCAGTCAAGTTTTATGAATAATACAATGTATATTATTGAGATAACCATCTCTGTCCAGAAGTAACATACAAAACGTGCTGATTTCGCTAAGGCATTTAACAGATCCGCAATTATCAGTGAAAAGATAAACGTTTTTATAGACTTCATGTCATCGAAATTTTAATTGAAAATCTCACTTATTGAATATTAATCTCAATGTTCGGGAGTTTGTCTCTGTTTGCAAACCGCTACGTCTGTAATAAAAATGCACATGCATAACTATTACCGTCGGCGTCGGTCCACTTTTCAAAAATCAATTCATTACAATGCGACAGTACATATTTAGCTTTGTAAATGGACAATTTCAATTCCGTCGCAGAATTAATTGAAATGTCACTCAAAGTTTAAATTCCTGGCTGTGCTAGCGACTCTAGTATTTCGGAGTTATCTCTCCCTGCCGACACCTATGCACTTTAAACCCTGTAAGGTGAATCGAAGCCCGACGATAAGACGAAAACCCGCAGTTCTTCGGTAATTCGATAATTTCCCAAGGGTGTTGGTTCCGTTAGTTAGACAACTTGCCACAAAATGGCGATTTTATGAGCGAAGATAACGCGTTACGACGAAAGAAAATGCGTTATGGAGAATTATTTGCAGATATTCAGTGAAGAGCGAAGCCTTTCAGGATTATATACTGCCGTGTGAATCAGAGGTTAAACAACTTCGGAGATGGACGGTCTTTGTCGTAGAGGGAAACTAGGAAGGTTTGGTTTACCGCAACCGAACTGGAAATAAAACAAAAGTATCTGTCGCATGTTATTTTTTGTAGAAGCAAAAATATAGATAAATACATAAACTGAAATGCCTGCATGCTACAATACCGTATTTGAAGTGATACATGTGGTATGAGAATTGCTTTAATACGGTGACCCATTAGTGCCAAATGCAATCTAAAAAAAAAAAGACTAATTGCGTTTATGCGTATGTAGAGTTGCGTATATTCGCAATAGTTATTGTGTATATTGGCAAAAGTCAATAATTATTCTTTTATATTTCATTTTGCACCAATAGGCTCCCGTACTTAACTGTATTTTAATGAAAATTTAATTCAGTGCGCCATCTATTAAGGAGGTCCACCTCCTGCAAACGGTATCTTTCACTGTTACCAATAAAACTACTTCACCCGTGTGCAAGAAAGATGAAACATTCTATTTCTCAATATAGACCTTAAACTTGAGTTAATGAGCATATCTTCAATTCATTCGTTGATATGTAAATTTAAAAGAATTGCATGTGTATTTACAAAGAATTTTGTGTGACGGGGAATAAGTAATAGTGACTTTGGTTCGAGAACCCCATTAATCCCACTCCTTATTCAGCGAGAGCGTAGGCAATCTGAGAATATAAAACGTTGGCAGCTTAACCAGGTACACTGAAACAGAAAAAATAAATATATTCACAAAGGGTTTAGAACTGTGATTTCAATTGAAAACATAATGTTGATTTATAACGTGGAAATCTTATATTCGTATCAGAAGATATATACTGTATTTCACGGCTACAACCTCAAAAATAAGGATGAGAACCAGCATACAAAATACTTTCCCACGCGTACCTCTGTCGTTAGACTGGCTACCAGCCCCTGGGTTTTTATGAAGAATATCTTGGCTGCATTTTCCTACCTGCTTATCTCCCCCTAGTTTAGAACTTAGGATCAGACATCCATGTGATAATTGTTTTTTGAGTTAATTTCTTTTCTTAATAATTCAATATTCTAGAGACGGGGGCCAGTCTACTCTGTCGTAGATTGCTTTTAAAAAGGAAATCAATATTCAAAAGCGATACACGTATATTACAGTATAGTTATACTTATCATTTAAATGAAATTCTCACACAATAGAACGCGGTTGACTAAATAGATACTGAGTTGAATTCTTCCACTATTATTATCATTCGTCGATAAATTGAAACCATGTGCCCTTGACGACAATGTCAAATGTAATTGTGTTTCCCACGATTTTCTTTTAAACGTTTAAGTGCCTAATTTCTTAAACATGCGGTGCATTACAGCCAGTATAGTAGATGTCTGTAAATTCTCTTTAATGCGTAAACAGATCCCTGCTGATATTGAGGTCAACGGGGTAACCCGTTCAAGATGTTACGCGTACCGTAAGTCAAACTTTCCCTGTGTCATTTTACTTTCAAATTTGCAATACTTAAAGGTTGATCTTTCTTTCTACTTCTATATTCTTCCATTTTCTAATGCCTTACTTGACAATATATCAATTCCGGCTGTAGTTTTGAGCGTTTGCCCATGTGAGGAAGGCAATGGGTTCTATCCCAGGCTGGGAAACAACAAAGTCCTTAAAAAGCGTTCAGCATTATGGGTAATGACCGAATGGTTCACCCATTGTCAGTATAATGTGACCGGGCGGAATGCTGTGCTGGGTGCCTTCTGCATGGTATTTCAGTGAGATAGCACTATAGAGTCGGCATCCGATCCGCGCTATCACAAGGAGGCAAGTACACCAACATACCCTGCATCCGGCACACATACACGCTTAATCAACACACACAGAGGCATGTCCTTAAATGACCTCAGATGTTAATAGGACGTAAAACAATATAAAACCAAACAAAGCCAAACTAAAAAAATAAAAACTATGTTCTTCTATAAAATTTATAATTCAGAAATATAATTTATACTACTTAAAGATTGATTTCACCTGAATTACGGTGTCTTAAACTATTTTCCGTCGATGTGGAAAACAACCACAACAACCTACAGACTTACATACAACACAGTGCAGGAAGCAATCACTATAGCATATTGGTACCCTTCGAATCCGATCCCAAGTAAACTTACAAGTGCCTTGCTTTTTTCCTGTGTTCATAAGGGCTAATGCACTTTTAAATAAAGGGGTCACATAGTTTACCTATGCCTTAACGTATATTGTCAATAATACATGTGAACACAACCAATAGGCCTAGTAACGTTTTACTTCACTGTAGAAATAGCGTGACGGATGATAATCGTTGTCAAGAATCTCTTTTTAAATTCTGATACCGATCTTCTAAGTATCTTAACCAGGCATATTTTCTCTACACAATTCATGTAATTAAAACTGTCGTATAGGCTAACAAATGATAAATTCTTATTGTGTACAACAACGACACCTATCAGAGAGTATTGTATAACAACTTGATCATCCCGAGTTCCTCACCATCTCATACTCAAACGTCGGGGTCTCTCTCAAGTAATTACTGTCTTGAAAAGACGCTGACTTCAATTTCAACAAATCTTATTGACAAAAGAATATTACACTGTCAAAAGGATTGGACAACAGGCTTATAGCCTATACAAGTCCTCTCCATTGGTGGTATGTACATGGACAGAATGCATTGATATCAAAATTATAAATAATTAAGATTTTGCTTACTCAAGTTACTGTCAATAATTAATCGTGAGAAACGGATATCATATATGGCGATATCTAGAACCTTTTAGAAAGTCAATGCGACTATAAAAAAAATCAAGTGTACATTTCTAGACCTGATTTTGATTTTGATGGTTTTACGTCTGCTATTACGGCCTTTCAGTAGACAAGAACAGATAAGAAAGGAAAAATAGAAGGGGACAAAGTATGTAGAGAAAGGAGAGAAGAGGAGAGATTAGAGGTGGAGGAGAAAGAAGNGGGGGGTGTAGTATACTTTTGCGTGACGACTCCTTGGCCGAAAAATGATTACCTACGTTTCTCGTACATGTAGATTAATCAACATACATTTTATTTTGTAATAATATATTTGTCTATCCATTGTGACGCCCACTTCTGTCGTGTGTGCAGGAAAGAAACCGCTACACACGATACAGGTCTGATAAGCAGGTTGTCAACATTACTAAGAACATCATATCTGACAACATACCTGAAACTATTACACACAGATTCTGCGAATGGCGAAGCGAAAGTGAAAGAAGCCCAAACAAATCGATTTAGGTCTACAGAAACATCTCATTTTATAAAACACTGTTATATCGAATCATAATGCATACTCAGAAATAAATAATTACATTGAATATGAATTGTTAACTTACACTATGGTTTTCAGATTGTCTGCAATGTGGGAAAACTTTGTCAAATGTGAGAACCTCTCTGGCGCATTGTGACAACAGATCGTTATCCAAATGTACAATGTACAAATAAGTTAATGAGTTCTACAAAGGGCAATAACTCTGTAAACATTACATAGTGAAACATCAGAGTACCATCTCATATCCCGGGAGACAACTACCAGGATAATTAAAACGAGTCAATTTACACATTAGACAGGGAAACTTGTAAATGGAAATCTAAAATCCTGCATAAAAGCGGCACTCGGAAGTTATTTCAAATTACACAAATTCAGTCAGTAGAAAAATATTTCTTTTACTGGTCTTATGGACAAAGACTAAATTATATCCTTTACGACGCCCATTTTGCCTTTCTAATGTATCAAACTTATCAAGAGATGACTTGTATATACATGAGGCACGCAGTTCAGTGAAAAGTTCCATTTCTTTAGGAGGACCACATCTTTCTTTTTCAAGCGTTAGCTAGAGCGCTTTTAAACTTACTACTTTAACGCAAAAAATAAATAAAAAAATGAATTAAAAAAAATAACAAAGAACTAAAAATCCCCCCTCCCCCCTGTCAAGACCAGGAGATGACCGATAAAGAACACTAAACCTGTTTCCACTGCGACTTTAAGAAGCTTTTACATTGAAATTCTCATCATGGAGCGTCTTAACGAAGCGATTAGTTTAATTATCCTATAAAGCACTCCGTCAGTCGGCCAATAGGAACGTACAAGTATTCAATAAAGAACTCAGTCAGTCAGACAAATTTGAACGTCTTCACAAAGTATTCATTAAAGCACTCAGTCAGTTAGCTAATTAGAACGTCTTAGCGAAGTGGTTAGTTAAGTATTACCTTAAGCACTCAGTCAGCCAGCCAATTGGACCGTTATAACGAAGCGGTTGGTTACGTATTTTCTAAAGCACTCAGTCAGTCAGGCATTTGAAACTTCTCAGCCAGTCAGCTAATTGGAGCGTCTTAACGACGTGGTTAGTTACGTGTTAACTATAAACCATGCAGTCAGCCAGCCAATTCGCTAAAACGTCGACAGTAGGGTTTCTACTTTAATACAAGAATAAAATAAAATAATACGCATGCGCCGTGCATTGCACATGTGGGACTTGGTCATGTGAACAGTAACGTAGTTCCAGAGTTAAGAGAAATACTTCGCATCTCCGTCCTCTTCGTTGAAAGACCCGGATGCTGCAGATATCTGATGCAACAGAGAACACCTAAACTTCACTATACGATGCCTGTGAAAGAGACACCTGCCGGATGGAGCGACCTTGAACTCGAAATGATACATGACCTTGAACTCGAAATGATACATGACCTTGAACTCGACGAGGCGGCTTTGAAATGTTCTCTATATTGTTTCAAATACTTTTGGACAAATATTGTGTTATTTTCTAGAAATTGCTGTCTTCATACATAGCACGCAGTTTTACATTTGCAGCTGATGCTTCATTATTAGAGAGTAAAATGGTCACATTTGCCATTATTTCAGTTGTCTCACTTTGTGGTTCAGCCTCTTTAGAAGCAAATGTCAATCTAGAATGAGTTTTTTTGCCGTTTGTAAAGAGGATTTTTTTTTTGTCGTGTTTGACTAGAAAACATTCAAGTCGCTATCTAATCAATTGTTTAATGCTTCTGTATTGAGAACACTGCCTACCACTCTAAACCATGTTCGTTTACTGATCCGCCTAATGTACTCTTATTCAGCTTCATACGCAAAGCTGAACTGAAAATGCTTATAAAAGTGATTAAAAACGTTAAATCTTATCTGAAGTTATACACTCAGATTCCGCGAAGAGAAGGTGAAAGCGAAAGTAACGTAAATCGAGGGATTTACAGAAAACAAATCGATGAATTGACATTATAAAACTTATATCCCCGTATGCTTAAACCCACAAACGTAACACACTTTTACAATAGCAGACAGTGGCGAATATTTGTGTTCCTAACCGAGGACTTCACTGACTGGTAGTAATACTGACCGTCCCGCGGCAGTGCTTGTTTTCACACGCTTGACAGATTTATCGTAGTGGTGACGGTATTATCAAATGCTATCTTAGGTTTTATCTGTGAGAATTTAAGATATCATCGCGACACAATGTCACCTTTGAGAAATATGACTTCAGCTAGTTTATACGTGGGGAGAATACAATAGTGTATATTGCATTTTTGTCTGTACTAATACTACGAGCAGGTCACGGTAACAAACATCCGGACGGCTAACGGGATTTACCATAGTGTTGACGATATTATCAAGTCCTGTTTTAAAGAGGATGAAGTCACAACAGTGATTTCTTTATCCTGATTTGTCTTTGTATGAATATGTATATGTAGATATATATCCTATAAGTATTGCTGGCTCCTAAATGCGTATTGTATTTATCTGGGCCAGAATCTGCGGCCCTTCTCGAAAGCCGTGCTAGCTCCACGAGTAGATATTAAGACAAAGGAAATATTTATTAGATGCATTCAAACAATGTGTTAGCACAGGCACACTTCAACATATTTAACAGATTTGTAAGTTTGTAACTATTTCGACGTTAATTACTAACACATCTTTCCGGTTATATTTCAATATCTGCAAAAAGTACATCATTATTTTTTATTAACTGACAGATTTCACTTCATAAATGCGCTTGCTTATCCAATAAATTAATAAATAATATTATCGATTTTTCGAACATAAATTTGTTCATATCTGTCACCTGCATCTTTTTACAGAGTGTATAATGCTGAGCGTTATAACGACGTTAGTGGCAACTGCAGCCTGCCCTTCAAGCCGCGGTCACATCTTACGGTCAAGCACGTAGTTGACCGTAGTGGGAGATGACCGTAGTTGGGACAACTACTAGGGTTGGACTACGATTGAAGTACGTTCTCATTACTGTCAAGTACGGTTAATTAGGGTCAACTAGGGTGAGGTATGGTCAAGTAGGGTTAAGTCATGTTGAAGTTAGGAGTTCCTGGATGTTAAGTACTGTAAATACGTTTAACTAAAGTCACTTACGATCTACTGCAGTCAACTACGGTCATCCCCTACTACGGTCAACCACGGTCATCCCCTACTGCGGTCAACTACGGTCATCCCCTACTACGGTCAACTACGTGCGTGACCGTAAGATGTGACCACGGCTTTAGCCATAGTTTGGTTTGGTTTAGTATTATTTAACGTCCTTTCAACAGCTATGGTCACTTAAGGATGGTCTTTAACCAAAGAGTGAACCGACAGACCCCGACTTTTATGTCAAATATCACACAACTTAACAAGTCTTAAGTGTGCTTACATTTTATTGACGTAAGATTGATGGAATACAACAAAATTTGTATACAAAGTTGTTTTTTCGTAGCAAAAATGTCCTATACAGAGCATGTCAAAACTGCTATATATCTAAATGTTATTCTAACTATAGGACAATTGTGAATAACTAAAAAAATGGATACCGTGGTCTTCAAATATCACCGACATTTTCAGAATCCTTTTATTCAGGTACCGACTACAAATGAGCTAGTAGATCTTTTGATATATTTTTTTTACATTGCTTATAGTAGAGATAGATTACTATCTGAACAATTCCTCCTCAAACTGTTCGCGATATTCTTTTTGTTTGTGTCTCAAATAACAGTGTACTACACAGTTAAACGAATTTAAAAAAGACATTGAGATACGTTTTAAAAGGGATATCAAATTTAGACATCTAAATATAACACTTAGTACAGTGATCATTTACATGGTACGTTAAACATGTATAGGTATCAACCTTCAAAAACATCTCTGTTATTTAAACCTCATAAGAAAACAATTATCGGATTAAATAAACAAACTATGTTCGGACAGGCAGGCACAAATGAATAAGCCGTACTACTATGTCAACTTGTCCATGACTACACAAACACCCTCGCTATCACGATTGCGCTTGAAAGGCGTGTTATAAAACGGGAACTATTTTCTTTGCAAAGCACAGGTTTTACCTTTGTAGAGTGTGTTTTTTTTTTAAAAAGTGATGAAATACCCTTGTGAATGGCTTTTCTTTCCTGTCTTTTGGTCTGGCAAGATCGGTACATACGACTTACAATTACACGGATCCCCACATCGGTGTAATCTTTAAATTACAGGTAACAATGAAATACATTTGTAACCAGTGAACGTGTGTGGCAGTGGGTATAGTTGTCAATATAAAGAGTATAAACAAATAAATAAAAAAACACCATAAAAGTTGTAAAATATTGCCTGAATACAACACACAGGGAAAAATAACCCGAGCTCAAAAATATTCCACACAATACCCTATAGATTTTAATGATAGAAATGTAATACATATTATCAAGTATTTATTTACATAGTAATCATGTCTATCCTGGTGAGCTTTCTACATCGACGTATATTTAGATAGGCGATTGATTATTTTACGTCACAGCGTGTATTCCGTTGACTCGTCTGGTAGACTAGACTAGAGGTTGGTTGCTGGAATATTAAGTCAAAGTTGGCCCGAATCTTGTAGCTGGACTTTATAATCTGTAATGGTTTACATGGAAATTAAAATAAAATCCTCGGCAACAAAGCGATTTTTATGTTTGCAATAGGAATCTTTGTATAAGGAGTAGACATATCTTTGTTTCCGACTTTCCGGTGCTATATCAAACAAATAAATCATACATTGTTCCTTTAATTAAAAAGCTTTCACATAATTTAGAATATTTCCTGGAGATAAAGGAGAGCTATGTATTAGAGAGAAATTTGACGTGTCTATACAAACAAGAACACGTGTCAATATTTTTATTATAATGTATCTATTTAAATAACCGAACCGGGTAACTGCAATATTCTAGCTCAGTACCTTCCGTACAACCACAGAGTAAATTAAGTATATATATATTTGTATTACATTTATAGTTACCACGGATTTAGATTATATCTAAGTCCGTGTATACGTAGTTACATAGTAACTTGAAGGTAAAACTGCAATTTCATACGGGAAGGGACATAACTCTTACAAAATAGTATCTCGGTTATTATCAAAGAAAACAAATGTTTCTCGTACAAGAAATGGGAATTATATTTCTGTTTAAGCGACTAGGTGCATACTCAGTAAAATTCTGACAGGAATACAAACAAAATAATGGTATAGATCGAGCACTCGTCTGTTGTCTAGACAAGTTTCGACGGATATTTTTATACAAAATTAATGATGGATTTTCGGCCCAGAAGTTTACGTTGACTATTTTAGAATATAGGGCACGATATATTCTAATATTTCGAATTCCATTCTGTACTTTGGTGGATTTTATTTTGTCAATAAAGTTATTTATAAATATTTTAATTCTTTAAAATCGTCCTTATCTAGCTTAGTGTTAATGACTCATTTTTGATATAATGCGGAATTAAGTTTTCCATGGTTGGCTGATAGTGAATTTGCCTTTCAACAAGGCGGCCGGGGTTCGATTCCCATGTCGGACGTTAGGCTTAAAGGTATGGGCTGGGTAAGCTGACTAACCACGTGGGTTTCTCCGGATACTCCGGTTTCTTCCCACAATAAGCCTCCCAAACGCTAATATCCGAGCCAACAAGAGTAATTAATATAAGCTGAAATAACTTGTTTTATAATGGTTGCCAACTAAGTAATGTTTATATTTTTAAGTTCCCCTGGTCACGGTTTTCTTATTTATTTACTTTGTCATTCATTCTTTATATAAAACGAATGGCCTGACGTCACTGTATTTTCTCTTCGGGTGTTCTGTACTAGTAGTGGAGCTTAACTCGGCTTAAGTCAAATATAACGTCGGCGAACTAATAACTTATATGTGAATTTAATTCATAAGTATATATATCCGTACGCACTACGATTTGTATGTAGCATAGGAGGTGAATAATGTTGGAACCCCCTG